GAGAAACAGGTGCAGCCAGTCTGAGATAATCAGGCCAGCTGACTGCAATGCAGACAATTAGTGCAGTCAACCTTCACCAACATGCAGAGTGGATAGACTGGTTCTCCACATACACACACATGAGAACCAGGTAGAAGTAGATAAGGAGTGAAGAGGAAAAAACCAGAACAGGACTGAGAAACCAGAACTAGTGAACAGAGTGATAAAGATCTAAACACAGGGACGTGATTCATGACAGATGTCCCCAATCAGCTCTTTGTTTCAGAGCTTTCATGTACCGGTAGTTTGATTTTTAGCCATGTTTGGATGTTTCTGCCTTCATGATAATTTATAGAAATCAAATTATCTGCATGGGCAGCACGGTGGCGCAACTGGTAGAGCTGCTGCCTCTCAGCGAGCAGGTCCTTGGTTCAAACCCCAGTCCAGGGGCCTTTCTGGGTGGAGTTTGCATGTTCTCTCCGTGCATGCGTGGGTTTTCTCCGGGTGCTCCGGTTTCCTCCCACAGACCAAAAACATGCATGTTAGGCTGATTGGTAACTCTAAATTGTCCCTAGGTGTGAGTAAGAGAGTGAATGGTTGTTTGTCTCGTTTGTCTCTATGTGGCCCTGTGATGGACTTGCGACCCGTCCAGGGTGCACCCCGCCCCTCGCACAGTGATTGCTGGACATGGGCACCAGCGACCCCCGTGACCCAAAATGGAATAAGCGGGTAAAGATAATGGATGGATGATGGATGGATGAAATTATCTGCATTTCCTTAAAAACGGCTCATCAGCCAAAATATATCCTATCTGCTCACACAGACTTCATGTTCGGGCTGCTGTTGATACGCCAGATTATTTTACATTATTAGTGCTTAGTGTATATCTTAGATCTTTTAATTGTACTGTCTGGTGTTTGTTTAGCGTTCATCTTAGTGTGTATCTTAGATCCTTATTTACTGTTTCTTTTTACACTTTAAATTATTGCTATAGTTGGATGTAACTGGGACCCTGAGTACATAATTTTGTTCCACTTCATGTACCATGTGGTGAAATAACAATAAAGTTGACTTGAACTTGAAAATGTTTATTCAGTAAAAATATGTTTTAACTGTAGGATGATGCATCTGTCAAACGAGCACATCGGATTTTTTATTCAGACTGTAAAAATCAGAGAAGTGGGCCTAGAAATCTGAAATACTACTTGATGTACAACAAAGTCCATGCTCAATAATCCAGGTATAAAATCTACATTTTTCAGGTCATCTGGACAGTTTCTTTTTTTGTGCTGAAACGTTTCGCCTTCGATCCGGAAGGCTTCATCAGTCAAGGAAACACACAACAAAACTGATTCTTCCTCCAACAGCTTACTCCAAAGTGGAACAAAC